ACTCTCGGCCCTGGCACACCTAGCAAGGTGTGCCAGGGCACACCTAATTATTTGCGCCACACACACACCCAACCCAAGAATTTGTGATGATTCCAATTCCAAATAAACAAATAAAGCGGGCTACGGTAATTGGTATTCTTGGGAGGATCTTTGATTCGCGCCACTTGCTATAAACGTACAACACTTAACAGCATGCCGTACCACTATTGCTCCGCTTTGAATTGTAATTTAATTTTTTGTGCACTACAATTTTGTCGTGTAGTAGCTCGTGATATCTACGGATTAGATGAACAATGGGTCTGGATCTGGTTTAGACCCGTCTTATTTGGATCGTTGTTAATGTTACGCTCCAACGAGTCTCAACCGGGTAAAGGGAAAGTCAAAGAAGTCGATATACAAACTTGACCCTCATTAACATATAGTTATATTGATTATTTAGCAACTCAATTATACTTATTTTGTCAATTTGGTAGTGAAGTTTGCAATCAATTTATTTAGTACCTAATTACATTACTTTTTGATTAATTAGTACTAACTTAATTTGAACTGATAATGATACCATAGACATTTTTTGTCATTTCAACTTAAAAGTTAGGAAAATAATTTGGAGTCTACCTATTCTGAACAAAATCAAAACCTTCGTTTGGAGGTGTTGGTTTGAGTTCATTAGTGTGAAAAACAAACTTCTAAGGAAATGGCTGAAGTTAGATGGAATCTGTGAATGTTGTGGTTTGGAGAATGAGGATCTTAATCATATTTTGTTTAGTTGTAGAAGAGCTACTAGGTGCTGGAAACTAAGTTGGACGCAGTGAAATTCTATTGAACCTGAGAAAGTGGATTTTAGAAGCTGTTGGGATGAAGTGAGTGGGAGCTTTAAGAGCAAGATTATGATACATAGGTTTAGGAATTGTGGAAAGCTAGGAATGCCTGAGTTTTCAACCAAAATCTAGGTGGGAGAAAGAGATTTGGTGGAAAAAACATCATTAGGTTGGAAAGAAGTATAAGCTGCAAGGAAGGGAGACTTGGAGTTGGGAAGATGCTTATTGGGTCAACTTGAACTAGGTGGATCATTTTTATTCTGGAGTAGGTAAGTTTTGTCTAGCTATCAGTGATTACAAATTTTGTCAGGGAAAATTGTCCTAGGATGCATTGTTAATAAGGATGGCAAAATTTTAAAAACTCGGACTGCTTCTGTGGAGGCTGCAGGGTCAGATGAAGAAGCTGAGCTTATGGGCATAAGATGGGGCTTAGAATTGGCAATGATGCATGGTTTTCAGGACTTCTCTTGTTGTGCAAGGGATCCTCTTTGGGTTCAATTTTAGCTCAGAGTCCACTCTGGTTAGGAGCAGGCAATGAGCATTTTCGAGGACATTTCTTGTTTATCGTCAGTGTTGTTGAGATGTTATTTTGTTTCTAGTGACTATGTGTTTCTAGTTTTGGACTTGCCAAGCTGGGCTATTCAGGGAGATCATTCGTCATTCCCCGTGTTGGAAGTTTTACCTTTGTTTTTTCAATTTTCGGGGGTTGTTTCCTTCTTGATCAGTTGATCGTCCGTTTGTATGAACTTTTTAAGATGCAAAGGCACTCTTAAAGACCCAAAAAATTCAAGTTAAAGATCGACGTACTCTCTCGAAGATTCAAAGGTGTTCTTCAAGATCCAAAACAATCAAGTTGAAGATTGACGTTAGAGTCTAAATCCTTCTCCAAAGAAGATCAGAAAAAAAAAGAATGTTAGTCAAATCAATTTCTCAACATCTAATTTGGGAATAAATCAGTCGAGGGAAGATAAAAAAAAAAATGTCAAGAAGTCTTCCAATTAAATCAAGTCCTAACATTTAATTTGGGAGTAAATTATTCGACAACTATTCATGCTCAAGCTCAAACTCAAGCTCAAGCCCAAAGAAGATCCAAGTGTTAAATCCATTTGAAGATCCAATTTCAAATTCAAAGAGAAGAATCAGAGGAGATAAATAGAGATTAATTGTACCCCCAATATCGTTTAATCGAAATAAAATAAAGTTCTATACATAGTTGTGGGATTATAGTTTCAACAAATACACACCAAGAAATTTGAGAAGTCCTGTAAATTGTAATTAACTAGAAAATTTTGGTTGTTTGATTTGATACGTACATATATTATAATATATATGTGTTACGGATCAAATAATAAGTGCAAAATAAAAATGAAACTAACTGAGAAGTAGATTGTCGCTGATTGATTAATCAAAGTTGGGTTGGGTTGGGTAGAATTCCATTTCCACCACTCTTCCGCCCAAAAATACATATATATATATATATAAATATATAAATATATATATATATATATATTGCTCAAAAGGGAAAAAAAAAATAAAAATAATAATAATAATAATAATAATAATAATATTTAAAATTGTATCATCCATCTTTGCAAGCCATAGTCATGAACAAATTCTTGAGTCTATTCACATCACAAACCAAACCACACATGCACAAATGAAACCACTCTCTCAAAGTAGAAGAAATCAAAGAACAAAATGACACACAAACACAAAAAACATAAGACCAAATAAATGTTCATCATCTTATTCATTTTGAATTATTATTATTTGCATTTCACCCCCTACCTAGCTACCTACACTTTTTATTCTCTTCATTTTTTT